TTCATTCTGCTGTGCATAAGGTCGCTATGGGTCAGTACCAACTCGATGGCTCCTAACAACACCAACAACAGAAGCCCCACAGTCCTTGGCCTCTGGTCCCTGCCTACATCTTCAAAGCCAGCAGCAGAGCATCTAACACTGTTCCTGTTTCTGCTGCCCACCTCGGCTAAGGACCCTGAGTGAGCCCCGATCCTCTCACATCTAAAGATTTGCAAGTTGTACGTCTGAAGAGTCCCTTTGCTGCATCAGGCACTGTGTCCCCGGGCTCTGGAGTCAGGATGAAGTCCATGGTCCCCGGGTCCCACCTGGTGTCTCACCTTGTGTTGTCTGTCTCTGCAGAGAAGGAGAACAACTTCCCGCCGCTGCCCAAGTTCATCCCCCTGAAGCCTTGTTTCTACCAGAACTTCTCCGATGAGATCCCCATTGAGTATCAGGTCCTGGTGAAGCGAATCTACCATCTGTGGATGTGTAAGCCCTCCCTTTGTGTGGGGTGGGTGGTCGCACCTGGCCTAGGTGTCTGTGACAGCCTGAAGGCTAAGGAAACCTCACAGGAGTAAAGTTGCACCTGAGGGAGCCCAGGGCTCAGCTGCCCGGCCCCTGTGTTTCTAATAAAGTTCTGCTCCGAGGGTGGCGTGGGACAGTGGGTGATGGGATGGCGGTCCTGCTTGGCCTTCCCTAGAGGAGGGAGGGAGAGGCCGGGACCCTGCTGTCTGCCCATTCCACTTGCTATGGGCAGGGAGGATAGACACAGCCCCCTATTCCCCCCTCCCCCCCCAGTTTACTGTGCAACCCTGGCAGTGAACCTGGTCGCCTGCCTGGCCTGGTGGATCCGTGGCTATGGGGTCAACTTTGGCCTGGCCTTGGTCTGGTTGCTGCTCTTCTCGCCTTGTGCTTACGTGTGCTGGTTCCGGCCCGTCTACAAGGCCTTCCGGTGAGTTGAGTCCTAGATCCCTCAGCTGCCTAGCAGTCCCAGGACAGCCTGGTCTGCACTGCTCCAGTGACTGACATTTTACAGCTGGACACAGGCCAACCCGCTGCTGCCTGTGTGGGGTTTGTTTCTCAGTAACAGCTTTATTGAGATACAACACACACATTACAACTTGCCCCTTCTAAGGTGGATGACTCACTTGTGTTTAGACGCTTCACAGAGTCGGGCAACCACCACCACTTGTGGTTCCAGAACATTCCCAATCACCCTCCACCTCCAGCCCCTGGGAATGTCCAGGGTCAGGCCCTGCAGCTTTCCGCTGTCCCAGGAACCACGTGGAGAGCCAGGTCTGGGTGGAGGGAATCTTGGGGCTCCCCCTCTTCACCTGTGTGTGGAGCCTTGGAGTTATGAGTTCCTGAGTACCTCGGAAGAAAGCCCTGGTGATCTGCTTCTAAAAAACCCACCACCATGCCACGTGGGGTCGCTGTGCATCAGAATGGTGCCAACAAGAGATCAGCAATCTGAAACTTGATATTTTCATCGTTTTTAAGTATTAATTTCAGCGGTGCTCATCAAACTCATGCGGTTCCTGGGTGCCTAGCCTCAAGCAGGGTTGGCAGTTGGAGCCCACTCAGGCGGTCTCTGAAAGCCCTGTGGAGCAAGCACCCACCACGGCTGTGCTGACACGGGGTGACTCCATGGCAGTGGGGCAGTGTCGGCTCAGGGCTCGGGAAGTCAGTGGGCTATGTCCAAGGGCCCAGACCCCACAGTAACGGTCATGCTTCCCTCCCCCCAGGGCCAACAGCTCCTTTAACTTCATGGCATTTTTCTTCATCTTTGGGGCTCAGTTTGTCCTGACGGTCCTCCAGGCCATCGGCTTCTCCGGGTGGGGCGCCTGGTAAGCTGTTTAGCGGTCAGTTTTATGAGAATGACGCTCAGAACTGAGAATCTGAGTGTGGTGTGTGAGTGTGCGGGCAGGGCGCAGTGGTGGCCCAGGGGTCAGGTCCTCACCCCCAGGGAGAGATCTGTGAAGCAGCTTCAGCAATCCACACGCAGCACCAACCAGCCCATCCCTCCTGCCTCTACCTGTGGAGGGCCGCCCCTTCCCCTTCCTCCTAGGCCCGCACTTCTGCATCTGACCACTAGGGGGCGGACGTCTCCCAGTGAGGGGGGGAAAAAAGTCATTCGTGTTCGCTTGATGGTCTGGGTTTCTCATAACGTTTCCGTAAGAAAGATTCTAAACTTCACCCCATCGGCCGGCCCTGACAGTGCTCAGGCCTCCCTTTCCCCCATGCCGGAAGTCGAAGTAGACTCCAGGCTTGGCAAAGTGCCTTCTCACCGGGGACTCAGAACCACACTGCTGCGGCTGGGCTGCCACGCCCCCTCACCTGCGTGCCCTGCGTGCCTTGCGTGCTCCACTGTGCTCACCCTCACTGCCGCTCTCCATGGAGGGCAGGCGCCCACGCTCTCTCTTTCCCTCCTACAGTGGCTGGTTGGCGGCAATCAGCTTCTTCGAGAGCAGCGTGGGGACGGCTGTGGTCATGTTGCTGCCGGCCATCATGTTCTCCATGTCGGCTGTCATGATGGCTGTCACGATTCTGAAGGTACGTGCTCTGGGTCCCGGGGAGGCCCGCTGGCACGAAGCCCCAGGTGGACAGACCCCTGCTGTGGACTCAGACAGAGAACGACAGCTCCTCAGGGTGTCCAAGGCTGTAACTCTGTCTCCCTCAGCGGCTGGTGGGCTAGAACCGCTGGCCTCTTGGAGCATCTGCCAAGAACCTAGTACCGGGATGGAGAGCAACCGGGTCTGATTTTGTGTAACACAGTTGAACGCCCAACAACCTCACATACTTCTCACTCCTTGGGAGGGGTCCTACCCATCACCGCGTGACATGGTTCCAGTTGTTGAAGCCCCCATTTCCAGCCCCCACTTCACGTTCACACCGCAGTCCACTCTGTCAGTGTGGGAGACGGGTAAGCAGACGACGCATGTACTTGAACTTGAAGATGCTTCATTGAACCTGGGCCTTCATTGAACCTGGGCCAGATGCTCCGTCTGTGTGGATGAAAGCGTAATACAGCCCACTCAGCAACACGCACCAGCAGACTAGAGCACACGGCACACAACGACTGTCTGGGAGGCCTGAGATGGAGGAGGGACGGCCTCTCCCAGAGCACATGCCTGTCCAGAGCATGACAGGTGGACGGACTGCATTCTCTCTTGACCCACCGGCTTCTCATTGGCTGGATCTTTGGAGCCCCAAGAAGCCCCGTGTGTGGCACTCAGCCAGGAGGACTTTGAGGGTTCAGCCAACAGGGGCACCCAAGGTGGTGGCTTATCTGAGCGGCGGTCTACACTGCAGAGGGATCTTGTTAAGTGCTGTTGAGGTGGTTCTGACCCACAGTGACCCTGTATAGGGTTTCCGAGGAGTAGCTGGTGAGCTTGAACTGACTACCTTGCAGTTCAAAATGGCCTTGCAGTTGGGTACATTAACCCACAGCGCCACATCAGGGATCTTAGCGGCTGTTAATTTCCATCCTATTTCTGTCAGAAAAAAGGATTGGATGTGTGGGTGGTCTGAAAATCGAGGGAAATCCTCCATTGTCTCATCATGCAGATTTTCGCATAATGACTGGTCTTCCTCACCATGTGGATATGTGAGGAATGGGTGCACTTAATGATGGTATCATCTCTTTGGGGAGCCAGTTTGTTATTTAGCTGCTGGGTG